AGAGGTTATCAATTTAGAGGAAATTTCACATAAACCTGGAATTAGATTATCAATTTAGAGGAAATCACACCTAGACCTGGAATTAAATTATCAATTTCATAAAGCCTAAATCAAGTTTAATATTGCACAAATCGGGTTTTAATTATTAAATTAAAAACGTTTTTTAATTTTAATTTTAATTTTTATATCTATATACAATAAAAATTAATTTATATACACCCCTACCCTATCTAACCAATCCACCATAAAATCATTTGAATCCATCCCTCTCCACTCTCATCTCTTATCCCGTCTCTCCACTGTCATCCCATCTCCACTCTCATCTCCTCTCTATCTCACCATCAATGGAGGACCACCGCGCGTGTGGAGAGAGCTCTGCCGACAGAATAGAGCTGCAGTGCTCACGGACCTGCCGCCATGCAGCATCGACTGCAGGCAGTGTCACTGCACATGGTTGCAATGGCGCAGCGTCGCATGCTAGAAAATTCGATCGCGATGTATAGTAGGCATGTGTGCAGCACGATGTTATGTAGCAACGCTGATTTGTAGCGATCAGATCCAGATCCAGATCTACGTATTTAGAGAGGTGTGATGTGGTGGTGGTGATGGAGGCGCTGCATTGGTGATGGTGGTGGCGCCGCGCGAAGGTAGCTACGGGATTTGTGTTTATTTAATGGTAGTGTGGTTAATGGTAAATGACAGTGGTGTTGCGTGGTGGTGACATTTTCAGATCGGTGGTGATTCTACAAGCGGTGGCGATGGCGCAGGGGTGATTGTGTGGTGTATTAGCAGTAGCGGCGGAAATGGTTGTAGTGGTTGTTGGGGGTGATGGTGGTGAGGTCATTTTCTGCTGATGGTGATGATGTCATTTTCTTTGGGGGGTGGTAGTGGTTGTTGGGGGATGGTGGTGTTGGAGGCAGTGGGTGCGTTATGTGGTGTTGGTGTTGGCGACGGCCGTGTGTTTCTGTGGTGTTGAAACGGAGATGGCGATGGTGTTGTGTTGATGGTAGTCACAAATGATTTGTTGAATGTGATCAATAAATTTGTTGGTATGTGACCAATAAATATTGTATAACTACAAATTTATTAATATGTGATCAATAAAAGTAATTTGTGA